CTAACGCACCTGCCCGTGCCTCTAATTTCCCGCTGCAAGCCCCGACCATTTAGGCACTCGATATTATGATTTATGAATATTATTTGTGCTGTGCTCTGCATTATTTCTCTGTAAATTGTCAAAATGCTGTGATATATCATATAGAAATCGTTCGCTTTTGTGTCCATTCTGAGCTAATGCTGTGAGGCGCCGCGTGCAGGGGGAATTGTTGTTGCACATGTGCAACTTGTTTTGTAGTTTTACCCCCCGTTCCTGACGCTAGTCTCTTTGCGGTCTAGTGCGGTCGCGGCCCTGCTTTATCCCTTATTGCATCCGCAGACCTTCAAAGCCGCCGCAGAGACAATAAACCATCACCGCCCTTCCATATCTCGACGACTTCTTCCCTCCCTTTTCCTTCCTTCATATTTCTGCTGCTCTTCTGTGTTTCGTCGCAGTCGACTCGACATGTCTTCTCCCCCGGCGTCTCGCGCGGTCCTCGTTATCCTTCTGTCACTCTTGATTTCTCTCGCACACGTCGCTGCCGACAGGTCCTCGACCTACACGTCCATCATCACCGCGCCGCCAAACGGAATCACTTCCATACCAGCTAGCCTCGTCACCGACGATAGCATTCCGTCCTCCGCTGCTCCTGTATCTTCTTATTCGTCCTCGTTAGATGCCGCCGCGTCCGCCTCTTTGCTATACTATTCTTCAACACTGGTCGCCGACTCAACCAACGCACCAGGCCCACTCGTCACCGCCACCGAACAAGATGCGAGCTCCACCATTGACTACATTTTGCCAAAATCCACGGCTACCTCCAAACTGACACACTCTTCTTCGGCTTTGTCGTCAGTATCATCCGCGTCGGCTCTTTCGCCAACTTCTATACCAACAGATTACTCGAGCTCATCATCACAACCGTCGGCCGCCGCGACGAACTTGTCTGACTCGTCATCAAATTCTGGATCAGCTACCTCGTCCGTGTCCAAGCGACGAACAACTATCCTCGTGGCCGTCATAGTTTCTGTCGCTGGCGTCCTTGTGATTTTCTTCCTCGTCGTTGCTACAATCCATTATCAGCGCCGCCGTCAACGAAGACGGCTGAGTGCTGGGACTTCTCAGTTGTCAGGGGATGCTGGGGCCTCTGATACAGAGAAGCAAGCTCCGTCCATACTGGCTCTCGCACCAGCAAACGGCCCTTGCCCAAATGATAAGAAGCCACAGGAAACGATGGCGGTCATTAGGGAAGAGTCTGTAGTACCTGGTCCCTCCAGATTCGGAAGGCCATTGAGCCGGAATAAGACACTACCGCTGCTACCACCTGCGACGGAGCGCTACACACCGTCTATGCAAATATTCGATACTTCGCCCCGGCGAAACGCCTCTTTAGATATCATCGCAGCCGATCGCCATCGCAATGCCGTCATTATGAACTATAGCGACGAAAGCTTGCTGGACTATGCCGAAGCCAACTCAATTGGTGTCGCGCGATGATTTCCTAACTTTAAACTGTTCCAACTTAATTGTTATATTAACTTGTTTACTCAGGCGTTTGGATATACTATGCTTCTTGCTTCCGGTAAATTTTTGATTATACTAGGGATATTTGGGTTTGCATTTGGGGCTTCCTTCGTTTGCATTGTATCATATTTCTATGTGATTATTGTGTCATTCATATCATGTAATCTACAATTTTGATTATGAGTACCTCTACTTTTTCTGCAAATGGAAGTGTGTATGATGCTACTACACAAGTTAACCAACGTTAACATTCGCTGGCTAGTTACTGCGAATGGTAGAGCATTTGCATGGACCTGAACTCCGGATTGTGTCAGTAGAATTCTGCGATACTCATTTAAACAATTACAGTGCTGTGTAGATAATGAAACGCGTGTGGAATTGACAGGGTGATCCGCTGTGTAATGATGAGCCGCATTTAAAACGATGGGCAAAAGGCATGGCAACTGCCATTGCGTAGTAAACAAATATTAAAAGTGTGCCCTCATACACTATTTACCATTTACCATCAATTAAATATCAATATCAACTAATTGCTATAATGAAGTATTGTAATTGGCAATGGAGTAGCTACGAGAAAATGAAGGCAATTGTCAAGGGAATGTTTTAGGGGTATTTGACAGTTCGACGACAACTATCAAAGCGCCGATTTGTATCACTTCCAGCCTCACAAACAGATTATCACATCAACAAATCCTTCTGTGTCTGATATAGCATCCATCACTTGATAATATCTTCTTCTGTTCTTTCCTATATACATAATGGCATTGCAACTAACACCGATCCGCAATTCCAGCCACTTCTCCTCAAATTTACAGTATCCATCCACCTTATCCCAATCAATCGCACTGGAGTCACCATACACATCTAAATTCTTCAACTCGACTTTCACGCTCTCGGTTCTGGGCGGGTTTATCTTCCTCATTGCGACTACGATCTTCTTCATCTTCGCATTCGCGATCTGCCTATTCATCATCGTTTTTATGGTTGCTACAGTTGTAGTCATCGCCGGTGTCCGAGACCTTGGGCAACCTACCTCAGTTCTCAAGTTTTCCTCAAGGTATCACCGTATCTTGTCCGAATCGCAGGTTGAAACATCTATCCACAATGCACCTGTGAGTCAATTAAGCAGGACTTCGTCTGTACGATCACAGTGTTTTGATCGTGCAAAGTTCGACAATTGCTGCGAACTCTTTCCGAGTATTGAAACAGAAACGTATCGAAGAACAGACGAGTCCGCTATCTTGCCGTCGTTGCTACTAGAACTGACTGATGTTTGGACTCGAAAGGAGAAGGCTCGGTCATGATCTATTATTTTTGATAAGGAAATCATGTACTTATTAATATTTAAAACTAATTTAAATTGCTTTATCAAGAGCACAGTCAGTACATTGTAGCGTATAATCCGGTGTTCGCCGACAGGGGCGTCAACGAGATTATCGTCGCGGCCTGTAGCAGCAGCCACGACCACGGTTGAGAGTGGTCATCAGTCGAGGTTACGTTCACGTTCAAATTCCATTTCCGGAGCAGAAGTGAGGGGATCGACTTGGCCATTAATATATATGCATATATATTTGTTAAAATATACAGAATAGCACCAATGATAACAACCGGACCATATCAACGCCACCACATCATCCCACCAATCCTATATCAATTACGCCATGTCTACAATATGGGCTAAATCTATAACACACGTCTAATTCCTTTTCCGTTGTCGCAGCACGTCTTCTTCATCCTCTCGCCCATTTAGCGTCAACTGCTCCCGTACTGTCACAACGCTCTCTTCTGAAATCGAACCAAATATAAATTTACCATTTCGCGCCTCATGCAATACGAGCTCTATATCTAATCCGTCGTTCGCGATTTTGCTTGCTAGTTGCAGTATCGGCTCTTTATACTCCATATCTCGGGGATGCAGAGGGAAATTGTGCATATCTGATGGGTCCGGAAATTGCTCTTTCGTAAAATCCGGAACTAGCACACACAGTCTCGAATATACTTTCTCAATCTTAAATGTCTTCGCAACTGGACCGGACCACTTGACGTAGTCAATGTGTCTGACCGTCGGATACGTCATTCGCAGCACGTACAGAAACCAATCGACCTTCAATCGCTGCTGTTTTCTCCATTCGAACAAGTTTTTGAGTCTAACAATATCGTCGGCAAGACCACCACTTCCAGCTTTCGCATTGCCCACCATCATAGCCCGTGTACATAAATGATGCAATCGCTCATTGCGAAAAGTCCTGAATTCAGACCGACGAAAAAACTCGATTGAACGTACAAGTTCGCCTGGCAAGCCCTCTCCCATGCCCTGCCAGCTCCGCTTCCGCTCCAACACCGGCCTCACATTCTCACGGTTACTTTCATCAGAGTCTGACGTCAGCTTCTCCGTCGTGCTGCGCTGCAGAAACCCGATCTCTGGCATGGCGTAGATGCTTACTGAGCCAAGTGTCAGCGGCCAACTGGGTTCCCGCAAGTGCGCTCGTTGTCTGGTCACTGTACGTTGCCGGGATGCTGGCGTAAGAGAAGTATGATCCATGCTTTTGCAGGCCGCTGAACCGGCTGAGTTGCAGGTAAGCTGGAAACGGCAGGAGATTACCTCTGTGCTGTGAACTCGATCCCGCTGGCAGCGTCGAGTTGCTGCCACAAATGATAATCAATATTTTGGTTATAATAGTACCCGACTACAAGTTGATTACTTAATATCTAAAGCTCGCATACGCTCCCCAGGATACCTGCGGAGTGCAGTGTACGACCGCAATGCGTCATCGGTTTTGGTCACCGCCGCACCACGCGGGGCCACCACTCTCCATGAATAATACCGAGTCATTCTAATCCGCATGTAATAGGAGTTATAAATTATCTAGAATTTTGGGGGAAATTGCTGAGCATAATATGGCCGTAGTGCTATATCAAATACTCGTTTTACTTAATTGAAAAGCCAGCCTGTTACTGAGATAGTACGCAATTGCAGAGCGACAAAACAATGCAAAGGTTTATCGCAATTGCTAATTGTTTATTCGATATATATCGTCGCCTGGGGGTCAACCCAGTGATGCTGAGTGTGATCGACGGAAACAAGGTGAGCGATGGACCGCGGAAGGAGGGGAGGGACCAGCCGGCGGAGGAGTAGCCGGAGGAGGAGATGGTAAAAATCCAGGCACTTATACCAAAGATATATCCCTGAGGATATGAAACTAAGAACAAAACATAAACCTTCGGGTCGGTTGGCGCGTAAATGGATACGATTTGAGTAGGAAACTTGTCCAATGCACAGAACCGCATCGGTCCAGCGGATTTGGTGCGGCTCGTCAAGAGTACGACAAACCCGATTGCGAGCAAGAGCCAAGGTTAGTGTCAGTTCTTCCAATTTCCATAGGATAGGTGTAGTTAGTTATATGCGAATTCAGCGAAGAGAAAGCACTAGCATTAGCCAGCCAAGAATCTCCGATCTCCTATCCAGACCGCGCTATGCGATTTCAGTGATTGTTGTTGGTCCAGTGGTGTAACGGTTTATCACGTCTCGTTCACATTTGTGAACTAAATCCGAGGAGGTTCCGCGTTCGATTCGCGGTTGGATCATTTTTTTTGTGTTGCAAGCCAGCTTCGCTTTTTACTTTCTTGCTGCTTACAAGCCTTCTCATATAGTTCCAATTAGGATCTTTGGCCTACGAGTTAGTGCTGCTCGCTTGCACTGAGAACGGCTAAAAAATTTCTGAAAATTTCAAGTTCTCAAGTGGTTGAGTCATTATGCCCTGACCCAGTATGAATATGAATGCGATTCGGAAACAGTCATCTCTGTAGCGAAAGCATTGTGCTGCGATTATAGTACATTAAGGGCCTACAGTCCTTTGAAACAAAACACTAGTGCAAATTATAAACAACACAATAAAAATCCTTACACATACACGACGCAAATATGGCCAACAAATGTACAAAACAACTCGTGTACTCTATCTATGTATTACATGTCATAATCATGTAATTAACTCACTGCGTTTCCTCACGCCGTCGCTTTAGTGCAACTGGAGGACCAGTCGCCATTTCACTAGCTGCAGTCTGTCCTTCGCCAGCACTTCCAGTCGCATCGCCGCCAGTGGTCGCAGCTGCGTCATCCTCCCTCGATCGTTTGATACCTGCGGTGCTTTCAGGCGAGGGTTCAGGTGGAGTGGTACTTGCAGCATTCCCAGCAATTTTTATACCTCCACCAGCAGGTGGTGGATGGGGAATATGACTCGGCCGATTCACATTAGCAGCGCCAGCTTGTCCTTGAACTGGCAATCCGCCAGGCCTCACTAATTGCGACGCGTTGCGTCTGGGTCCCGGCTGTAGATGCTGTAGCACTTGTGCTTGCATCGGATTTGCGAGTGCCATTGGACTAAGACCGCCCACCGCCTGTTGAGAACCGATGCCCCTAAGTGGTTGAAGTCCTGGCCGCTGCAGTTGGGGTAGCTGAGACTGACTTCGCGATTGAACTTGCTGACCGATTACAGGCTTCACCATTGAGCGTACGGGAATCGAGGTGCTAACTTGTTGGCTCCCTTGCAATTGCTGGGACGGTGCCAGAACCTGCGGCGGCTGAAGTTGACGAGGACCCGATGGAGGTGCTGATTGCGCACTTTGAGATTCTCCTGCCACTTGCAAGCCCACGGTTTGCGGCTGCGGAGTGCCAACTGGGGTTGCCTGATGAGAAGGCGTGGATGGCTGTGATGTCGAAGGACCCTGACCAGGCGTAGGAGTCTGTGGAGCTAGTGGCGCACGCCGTAATGGAGGACTTACAGCGGAAGAGGCCACAGTCTCTCCTCTCAACAGTGCCAACTGTCTCAGTGCTTCAGTTTTGTCCTTGTCAGCTTTGTCAGCCTTCTGTTGCAATAGCTTATTGCGCATTGTTGACTCTTTCTGTGAAATTTCTCTCGCTTTATTCACAGCCTCGGCCTTTTGAGCCTCCATTTCTGCTATCTTAGCATTTAATGCCTCCTCAAGTTCACTCTTATGTCTAGTTTCCAATTCCGTCCGAAGATCTGCGAGCTTCTTTTGTAACTCTTCAGATGCGTTTCCACTCGGTGTGGTAGCATCACTTTTCGATAATGCGTTGAGGCTTTCAGTCGCAGCCATTTTCATTTGTTCAAGCTCAGTCTGTTTCTTCTCCAAATCTTCCTTCAACTTGACAGCTTCAGCAGTGCGAGCTGCATTGACTCTGGTTGCCTCACCAAGATCCGCCTGTTTCTTCTCGAGGGTCGCTTGGAGCTCGTCTATCCTTTTTTGTTGTTCTTCCCATGCCGCGCCAGTGGAAGGAACCGGCACAACTTCTGACGGTCCAGGTGCCGCCCGAGCCGACGCAGTCTTAAATTCTTCTAGTGCTTGATTTTTAACTTCAATATCTTTAGTTTTAGCATCAATTATTCCCTTCAGAGTCGAAATCTCAGCTTCAAGGGTCATAATTTTAGACCGGAGGGCATCAGACGCGGTTTTAGATTGCTGGACTTCCATTTCTTTCGCACTGACGGATCCTTTAAGAGCTTCATACTCCTGTTTGAGGGTCTCTAGCTCATTCTGCAATGCCTTGGTTTCGTCGCGTCTCGTCTTTAACTTCGTGATGAATTCATTTCTTAGCCTTTCGATTCGAGACGTCTTGTCTTCAATTTCCGCAGCCTGTTCGGCGGACTACGGCAATAGTTCATATTACTATTCAGTTCATAAACAACCACGACGATATAACTACTTACCTTAGCTATGGCAGCATTCAATTCCTCCTTAATCGTTCCATTCTCTGTTGTGCAGCTCTCGGCCTCTGCCTTTACCTTCTGAAGCTCTTCATCCTTGGCTTTCAACGCTTCGTCTTTCTCCGTCAATATCTGCCGTTTTGCAGACTCGACCTCACTTTTCGCGGCGTCTCGTTCATGTGAAATTGTCTCGACCTCTGCCTTCAACGCCGCCACCTCATCCTTAAGGTTCTGGAGCTCGACAGGATCAACTCTCTATTATAAGTATTAGCAATAAGCAACGGTAGTATCGCAAAGGACGTTACTAACTTCATACTTCTGCAAAATATGCTGTGCACGGTTCTTCCATCTCTCATTATCCTCCTTTATCAACTTCAACTGTTGCTCCTTGGCTTCAAGATCTGCAGTTGCCCCCGCTAACTTATCCTCCAGCGGCTGAATCTGAACTTCCAATTTCTTAATACCATCCTCAAGATTTCGGATGCGATTATTCGCACGTCGGTTCTCTTCTCGCAACGATGAATTGCTCTCACGTAAAATATTGAGCTCGTTGACTTTGTCGAGCAGCTCTTGATGCAATAAGTTTTGTTCTCTAGTAGATGAATTGTTCTCGCGCTCCTGAGCCAGCTGCTCACGCACTTCATCCAGTGACGCAATGGCATGATCGAGGCGTTGTTTGAGACGCTTTGTCTCCTGAAGAGCAAGTTCGTACTGGCAATCCACAATTTCTTTTTCGTGACGCAAGAATTTAACAATTTCACGCATGTCGTCAACGGAGTTCCCATCGCCAACAGATAGTGCTGATGCCGGCGTGGCCTCTGTCGTTTCAGTACCTTCAGTAACATCTGCCGATTCGGACTCCGTGGCTGAAACTGAGGTGGCCCCCTGACGTCGCTTCTGCTCCCTGTTGACCTGTGAGCTGATAGATTCAAACTGGTTATGTAGAAGCTTATTCTGCTCCAAAAGATCGTCGCATCTGTTCATTCGTCAGTAGCCCGCCAAGCAATAGATATAAAACAGCACTTGACTGACCTTGATTTAATATTTTCGATCTCCACCTCATAACCTGCTCGACGCAATTCCCAGCTTGTTTGGCCGTTGTCCAAGGCATTCTTTGCAATATCCGCATCATTGCGAAGTTGATGAACAAGGTCTACTGTCATTTTATGAGAATTGCGCAATTTCTGCAACTCCTGTGCGGTAGCAGCGTGCTTGACGAGCTCTGCTTCGTAATTGTTCTGCGATTCGTGCGTAATCTGGGCCTGTTTACGTAGATCGCTCTGTAAAATCTGGACGTTGGACAGTAATCTCGTCTCGGAGTCGCTCAGATGCTGAATTTCTCCGTCTAGCTTCGCCTTGGCCTCAGAAAACTGGCGATCTCTTTCCACAGCCATCTCTTGAGACTTTGACAACTCACTATTGGTTTCGGCAACTTCCTTGGACAGGATTGCGACTTGAGCGCTGAGTTGCCCGATTTCAGCATCACGACTACGGAGTTTCTCCTCAACCGAAGATTTGTATTCGTCGTGGGTGGAGTTCATAGTACCAAGAGCCTCCTCGGCAGCGGTGGCAATGCCACTGAGATTGTCTGCGTGCTCCTTCGCCTCATCTAGCTCAGCACGAGTCGCTTCCAGCGTCGCCTTCAGTTCGCCAACCTCTGCCTCAAGGTTGCGAGCAACACTAAATCCTTCTTCTTCTATCTGTCGCTGGTAGAGTGTAACTTTCTCTTCAGCAGCGGTGAGGTTTGCGGTAAGCTCATCCGCCTTCTTCTGCAATTGTCCTTGGCTTGCCTTGGCTGTGGCAAGACTCTCCTTAGTAGACGACAGCTCTTCCAACATCTTATCAATTTTATCTTGGAATTCCTTGGATTCATACTCTTTGCGCATTGTGACCTTGCGAACTTCTTCAGTCTCAGCATCGAGCTTGGACTTCGTAGCATTGAGCTCCGCTTGAAGATTTTCCACTTGGGAAACAAGTCTTCGGCGAGTCTCTGCATCAGATTTCTCCCGCTCGGCTTCGACACTCTGGAGATATGAGATCATGTTGTTGAGTCTAGACTTTTCTTCAGTCAACGACTCATTTTCCTGAGTCATCCTATGTTGAATTGAATTGAACAACAATTTTTCCGCCTTGAGGTTGGCATTCTCGTTTCGCATTGTCTCAAGAGTAGCCTTCACCTCCACAACTTCGTTAGCGACTTGCTGGGTCTTCAGATCTTGCTTGGTGAGGATTTCCTGGATCTGGGCACTCCGCTTCAGGACGTCGGCGTTCTCCTTCTTTGTCATCTCGAAGTTGTCCGCCATTATCTTCAATCGTTCCATTGTCAACTCAATCTGAGTCTGGGCACGTGAGAGCTCTTGCTGCACAGAAGCTCTTTCGTCCGAGAGACGAATAATCTGCTCGTTAAGCATCTTCATGTCCACGCCGGTCTCTCTGCGATAAGCGTCGAACTGTTCTTGCAACTCCTTAAGATTTTTAGTCGCTTCCTCGTGCTTCTTGAGAGTCTTGTGATACTCGTCCGCTGAAATTGATTCACTTTCTGGCTCGGCCGTTGCTGGTTGAGGCGCAGTGAGAGACAGAGTATGCTCGCCATCTTTGCCAGACAGCATGTCTCGGAACATGTCTCGCTCCCGCTGATAAGAATCCATCTTAGTCTGAATACGCTTGATCTCGGCTTCGAGTTCCTCGATCTTGGCCTGTTTCTCGCGAATGGCTGCAGCTTCCAGGTCTTCCATCTTCCGACGCGTTTCCGCCTCTTCACGCTCAAGTCGATCACCGAGCTCTCGAGTAACACGAAGAAGGTTCTGGTTCTGTTGTTGAAGCTCTATGGAGTTCTTGAAAGTGACTAGACGTTCAGAT